ATAGAGAAGACTCAAAAGCAGTAGAATTTTTAGAAAAGTGTACTGGATTTGTAGCTAAGATACTTGGATATTGGTAATATTTAAATACTCTTTGTGCTGCTCTGATATGCTCTTTCCCTTCTGTGAGTTTCAATTCCTCATTATTAAAATAATATGATTTAAACTAGATGACCTTTAACTCCCTTCTAGCTCTCATTTGGCATGATTTCATGAGCATTCCCCCTCCGAACCCTGCCCCTAACTAATACCATCACCACTGCGATGCTGCCACTTATGCAGCTGGTACCAACTCCATAAATCTTCGCTCTCAATCTTCCCCGTCTTTTCACCACTCATCAGTAAGTCACTGGCACCACTAAGTAAACATGTTTATCAAATTTACTTCTCCATTTTACTTGATGCTGAGGCCTGTCTGTGGGCTTGTCATCCTGGGAGGAGAAGAAATAATTAAACAGAAAAAAAAGTTGCTGATGGGGGCCCCTCCCACTCTCTAGAGGACAACTTTTAAATGTCATCTGGGAACTTAACTTGCTTTGCCTCATCTTACATTTTTCTTTTATTTTTAACCACTAAATTTCACATGAATTATCCAAAACTATCTGATCTCCATGACCCCGGTGTTCTTCATTCAGCCGCTTACAACCAGAACCAAAGGGTAGCAGCTAGAATTGGAAACTCTGCTGTTTCCTGAATAAATCTATATCAACTCCAAATAAGCCTGTTTGACATACAAAACACACAAATTTGGACACATTCTGCAAGTATAGACATTTTCCTCTGTTAGGGGAAGTGAAAATTATTTTTATCCTTAAAATGAATTAAAGCAATTATGACCACTACCAAGCAACAACTTAAAGTTTGAATCTGAACTTTTACGCATGAATCTGCATTGGATTTTCAATCATTTAGGAAGGTGGCCTAATTAGATATCATTTTTGCAGTTGTTGCAGCATTTTATGGGTGGAAATAATCATGTTCTTTGGGAAGACCTGGTATCATATCATGTCTCAGTTGTTGGCTCTCTGGCCTGAAACAATTCACTTCATATCCCCGGGCTTCAGTTTCCTCTTTTGTAAAATTAGAATAGTTTCTGCCACATAATTTGTTTTAAACATTAAAGAAAAATGTGTGTGAAAATAATAATCTGAGTAAACAGAAAACCCCCAGAATGGGAGAAAATATTTGCAGACTATGCATCTGACAAAGGACTAGAAACTAGAATCTACAAGGAACTCAAACAAGTCAGCAATAGAAAAAGAAATAATCTCATTATAAAGTGCTCAAAGGACATAAATAGAGATTCCTCAAAAGAAGATATACAAATGGCCAACAAACATGAAAAAATGCTCGACATCACTAATCATCAGATAAATGCAAATTAAATCCAGAATAAAACAGCACCTTACTGCAAATGGCTATTATTAAAAAGTCAAGAAAAATAGATGCTGGTATGTATGTGGATAAAAGAAAATGCTTCTACCCTGCTGGTGGGAATGTAAATTAATACAATTTCTATAGAAAACAGTATGGAGATTCCTTAAAGAGCTACAAGTAAATCTACCATTTGATACAGCAATCCTACTAATCACAATTGCAAAGATGTGTAATGAATCTATGTGCCAATTGACTAACGAGTGGATAAAGTAAACGTGGTATATATATACTATGGAATACTCCTCTGCCATAAAAAGGATCGCAGTAATGTATTTTGCAGTAACTTGGATGGAGCTGGAGTCCACTATTCTAAGTAAAATAACACAAGAGTGAAAAATAATAATAAAAAAAAGATGTTCCCACTTATAAGTGACAGATAAGCTACGATTATGCAAAGGTATACAGAGTGATATAATGGAATCTAGAGACTCAGAAGGGGGAGTGTGAGACAGGCTAGGCATATAAGTATTACACATTGGGTACAATGTACACTACTTGGGTGATGGGTACACTAAAAATCTCAGAATTTACTGCTATATAATTTATCCATGCAACAGAATAAACACTTGTAGTTCAAGAAAATACTGAAATAAAAATTAAAAAAAGAAAATGTGTGTAAAAGTACCTATTTTCATGTCTGATACCCAGTAAGCATTAAATAAATGTGAGTTCATTTCCTATTTATTTGTACACAGAGTCATCTCCAAGGGCCTTTGGTTGGATCCTATACATTTCTTAATTTAGAAAACCCCCTAAGAAGTGTAGTTGTAGCAGAGGACTAGAATATCTAGAGCGGTAATTTTTAAAGTGAAAGGGTAGAAAATAAGTGTTACTTGAAAAAACATATTCCTTATTATAACAAATGTATTTGGAAAACAAAATAAAAAATGTCATTATTTTTTCTACAATAAAAACTGTGAAAGTACAGATCTACAAAATCTTCTTAGCTGTTGGGCATTTAGTACTTGGAAAATGTCAATGTGCTGGAGCAGATTTTTCTACAAGTCCAGGGTCTGGTTCCTAGGAAGGCAAGTTCACAGTAACCTTGTAGTGAAATGTTTATGTTTCTCAAAGGGAACCTTGGTTTTAAAAGATTGAGAAATGCTGATTGAGTGTCATTGTCACTGTGGAAATCAGATTTCAGAAAGTTTTATCTTTTTTCTTGCATTTTCTCATTTTTTAAAAAGGGAAATTGCTTACAAAGCATTTGCCTGTGGTCTAAAAGTTGAAGCTCTCATGATGACATTACCTGAAAGAAATATAATGCCAATTGGGAAAGGATACTCAGTTCTCTTGGAGATCTGAACTACACTTCCAGAATGTCCTCTCTAGATAGATTTCCCTATTAAGATTCCATTATTCACCACTCCATAACATCTAACTCTTCGTAAGTATCTAACAGTCTAAATCAAATCATTGGATTACTAGGAAGGAAATTAGAAACCATCTATTCCAAGCCCTTTCCCATTATAATAGACGAGATTATTGAGACCCACAGAAATGAAATAACTCACCAAAAGCCACACCAGTCATTGGCAGAACTTGAACTATAACATAGACTTCTGACTCCTTGTGTATTGATATATCTATTTTATCACTCTACCTGTGATGTATATGAATTGATACTAGGAGAAAACTTCCCCACAAAATATACTGATCTGAAGAATAAATAAACCTTTTTGCCAAAAGCTTTTAAAATAAATCATAGACCCCCAGGAAGCCATTGCCATGACTTTGAGAACTTTTAGAAAGTCTCATTTTACTATAAACAGCTCTGTTCTCTTTGCTTGAGCCATTACAGAGAGCTATAGTATAGATAGGCTGGCCCCTTTTTTTTTTTTTTTTTTTTTTTTTTTTTTTTGAGACAGAGTCTTGCTCTGTCTCCCAGGCTGGAGCACAATGGCAGAATCTCAGCTCACTGCAACCTCCACCTCCCGGGTTCAAGCGATTCTCCTGCCTCATCCTGCCCAGTAGCTGGGATTATAGGCGCCTGCCACCGCGCCCAGCTAATTTTTGTATTTTTTAGTAGAGATGGGGTTTTGCCATGTTGACCAGGCTGGTCTCGAATTCCTGACCTCAGGTGATCCACCTGTCTCGGCCTCCCAAAGTGCTGGAATTACAACGTGAGCCACCAAGCCCAGCAGGCTGGCCTGTCTTTTGAAACCTCAACTCACTTACTTCAAACTAAAACAACCCAGAAATGTGTTTATTCATTTGGTGTCTTCAGATTTGAGTAGTCTGTACAACTTGAACTCTACAACTTTCCCAGTTGAGCCCCAAAATAAACTGCATTTGGCCAGAGAATCTGTGTTCAACAGGAACTATTGCAAAAACAATTGAACCAAATGTGTGATCTGATTCTGACTACAGTTTACACCATTTTCCACCTCAGTATACCTGCATGTCATCTACTTTCATAAGTGATTAATTTTACTGTGCTGCAATTGCTAAGAGATAGATTCTCCAATTAATAGACATCATAATGACTCCACACATCCATTTGAACAACTGAAATAAAAATATTCTCACTTTCAGGATTCTTGGAACTGAGCCTACTCCCCTGGAAAGCACAGCCAAATCTGGTATCATTCCATCTGGACTTATCCTGGTTCCAATTGATTTGGCACAGTCTCCCTTCAGGGATTCCTTAGCTGAAAGTCTCCTTTTGATTTAGTTATCTTATCTCAGAAGGAGAGAGGTGCTAGTATTCAGAGTAATAGCAATAATAACTGAAAAAAATGAGTGCCTCACTCATGGGCTCTGCTATCCAGTAAGGCTGAACTTCAGTCAAAAAGTAGCTTTCAAAGGATCAAGGAACCACTCTGACCAGACTCTGAAGTCATCTGGGATATTTTCTCCTTTCCTATGACAGGGTCACAAATAAATTTACAGTATTCTCTGGGAGATGCAAGCTGCTGTAGGGGAAAGGGAACATGAATTTAAAGACACAGGTCCTAGACCCACCTATACCACTAACAAGCTGAGTGAACCAAAGTGTCTTCACTGTCTCTCAGTTACCCTGACTGTATTGTGAGGGATTTGGATCTCTACAGGCCCTTTCAGCCCCCAGAATCTATTATCCTACTTTCTACTATTTGTCTCAGTATCTCTGAAAGCTAAATTTTCCAAAGCAAGGATTTTATACCTAAAAATTTTTCTTCATTATGCAGCTAGATAAATTATACACCATAAAAAATTAAATTTACTTTTATTGGCTGAATATGTCAAGTTCTCCCAATGAGTCTCACTGAATATACTCTTCTTACCACTTTGTGCCATCTTCTCTGGTCCCACTCTATAAAGAGCGCTCATAAAGAGTGAGCTGCATCACAGACTCCATGCTCCTGGCATAATGAAGAAGACTGATGGCATTAACGTTAACTCTGGACTCTGTTCAAATTCAACGGTAATTATCTTTGCTCCTGTTGTAAGACGTCTGAGATGAGAAACCAGTGGCAATTTTAATACAGACACTGGCCGCACATACACCTCTGTTCTGATCTTTATGATCACACCAATCTTCCCACATGAAACCACCAATCCCCAGGTGCTAGGCATTAACTTACCCTGGAGTTTAGCTGGGATAAGTACTCTTGTTTCTTTGCAGGGAGCAAAGGGTAAAAAGCTTTACTCTGGCGGCATGGATCCTGCTGATAACTGACACATTTGTTGTTGAAAGAGGAAGTTGAGTTTATCTGGTGTCTCACCACAGAAACCTTATTTGCACAAATGAAAGGTAAGTCCCTTGAGCAAATGACGTTACTCAAACTTTTTTTTTATTTCATTGGTGCAGAGAAATTAAAATAGCGGGGAGTCAAAGGCTATGCGTACTAACACAATGGCTGTATAACAGCCTTCCTCACCCTATCTCCTTCCTTGAAAACCAGCATATCTAGATATTCACTGATTCCAGTAGGTTCCATGGTAAGATGAAATTTTCAGGCAAATCTAAACATTGTTTACCTAGTAACAGGAAAGCTGCAGCTTGTGCGAGCCTGAGGGGCAAAGGCTGAGGAAACCTAAAAAATACAAGTCAAAATTAAAAACAGTAGAAGTATCATAGCTTAAGATGTTCCCTCCATTTGGAGTGCCCCTCTCCCAACCCCTTTGTCTCTAGACTCACAATTTAACACATAGTTTCATTATTTTTGTGTATTTACTATCCGTTTACTGGACTGCACACTGCTTGAGGGCAAAGATCATGTCTGATTCATAGCTGTATTCCCAACTTGTCCAGCACAAGGCATTTTCACGAACTGTTATTGAATGAATACATCTGGGAATTAATGAATAAACAAATGTTCAAAGAATACATGAATAAGTAAATGAACATTATTGATTACAGGGTCTCCCTCCAGTGTACTAAAATTCTGGTATTTATGTGCAACATATATGAGGCCTTTGAAATTGTGTGAATACAGGAAGATCATACACTTGAGGACTGTAGTGTCAACTAAGTTTGAGAGTAGTTTTGAGAAACAAGGTTTAAAATGCAGCACAAACCCCTGTTGGCATGTAAGGGAAAGATAAGCTGTCAGCATTGGAAACTAAGAGCTTGGGATGATTGACGGAAATGTCATAACTTGTAAAGACTGGCAAAGGGAGAGGGTACTCATCCTGGCTGATGTATGTCAAATGAAACAAGTTTAGCCTTGCAATCCGCTTCTTAATTTTGATTTCAAATGTTTATTCAGCTCCTATCTTTTGTTAATTTAGGTTTCTGACTTGGAATCTCTACTGAAAAGAGAATACACTGACAGACCAACACACATCTCAGTCCATTTGGAAGTTCTGTTCCCCACTATGGTTAGTGTGAGCCAGTTTTCCTAGGGTAAGATTCTTCTATGAACAAACAAAAAAGTTCCAGACCTGTTGAGCTTTGAAGGCAAACCCTGGGATCCAGAAATAAAAGAAATCATTTTCTTACAATTGGCTACCATCACCACATCCCAGCTTTATTTCACAGACAAAACCTTCACATTGAGAGTAGGAAGCCTGCCAGATTACTTCATTTCTGTCTTGCACGCAAGTAGCTTCTTCTGTCACTGACTCTAAAAAGGGAAGAAAAATAAAACCAGAAGTCAGTGTCTCAATTGAAATGAAGAAAAATTTTAACTTAGGTAAATTTTAAGTGTTAATTATTGATATGGTTTGGCTCTGTATGCCCTCCCAAATCTCATCTTGAATTGTACTCCCATAATTCCCACGTGTTGTGGGAAGGAGGTGATGGCAGATCTTTAGAACCATGGGGGCAGTTTCCTCCATACTGTTCTCCTGGAATTTAATAAGTCTCATGAAATCTGATAGTTTTATAAGAGGTTTTTGCTTTTGCATCTTTCTCATTTTCTCTTGCCATCGCCATGTAAGAAGTGCATTTTGCCTCCCACCATGATTTTGAGGCCTCCCCAGCCATGTGGGACTGTTACGTTCAATTAAATCTATTTTTCTTGCCAGTCTCAGGTATGTCTTTATCAGCAGCATGAAAACAAACTAATACAATTATAATGAATAAATCTGTGGAGAAACAAAGCAAGCTGATAACCTAACAGTCATCTCCAATTAACTTTTAGAAGAAAGTCTTTTTGTTACTAGATATGACTTATGGTCTACAAATCATTGTAAACTAAAACCAAGTAATAAGTACCCTAATTATAAGATTTTTAAAAGTAGTGCAGTTGTACTATTTTACCAATAGTTCTAAATTCTTCCCTTATTCTTATGTATGTCATCAAAGTTTACTTTAAATGATGAATTATGTTTTCCATAGGCTGGGAAAAGTTTATGATTTGGTGCTTCAAAAGCTTTTAATTCTCTCTAACAGTATCAATAAATGAGGAGTGATAGCTATTGTTGAAGATGTTATTTATTACCATATATTGTGTTTCCTAGGTAACCCTAGAGCTCTATATGATTTAGTATGAGGAGAAGCTAGGTGTTTTCCTAAGCAAATGATTAAATTTTATTTTTATGAATACTGACTTTATAATTGGTCATGTGTCTCTTTTTACAAAGTCAGATTAAAAATCTTGAACCAACATAGAATCTACTGGTAGCAACTGTGGAGATTTTTTATGGTGTGCTTTGTGGGATTCATTTTTATTATATCTCAATTTTTATGTCTTTGCCAATTTTTTAATTATTATTTTTATCCACTTTAATTTATATTATCTTCTTATAACATTCTTCCTTTGAAACAACTTTCAGTCCTTTCTAGAACATTAGTGGAATCCAAAAAGGAAAAATAAAGGACAGAGTGAACTGTGAACCTCAATTATTTTCAAATTAGAACTAGTGAAATTAAATTGCTTTAGACAAAATACCTTCAAGAGATTTCCATGTCTGATTATGTATCTACAGAGTATTCCTATGCAGTTTTGAAAACTAATCATTTAACAAATACTTAATGAACTACAACAATGAGAAATCTCTCCAAAGCTGTGGGGGAAGGCTGGGATTGGGAAGCAAAAACTACATTTCCTATCCTCCAAGAGTCTACAGTTTATGTGACAAGTTAATTATTCATAAAATAGTTAGAAAATATAGCATAGTATATAATTTACTGTGAAATTGTGTGGAAATTAAGAAGATAAATTAACCATGGGCTGAGTCTGTTGGAGAAGGTTTTCTGGTCCTTTCTTGATGGGCAAGTTTTGCTTTAAGCAGTGTTTCCCAAAGAATAAAATGTCCTAGTGGAGACCTACCAAGGTTTTTGTATTTTAGGTGGTACAAAGAAAAGCTTAAACAATTTAAAGCTATACATTTATTTTACATATTTAAAATATAATAAAATTAGCCATACAAATATATGATTTCTTAGATAATATTTCTTAAGAGGAGGCTAAAGTAGGTAACTAAATTTTAAATACTGTGATTATTCACAAAAAAAGTACACAAAACCCCCACAAAACTGTAGAGGGTATGCCAATAACAAAATCTGTGGAGAAATATTTGAGTATCTGCAGTTTAGAAAATTTAAAGAGAGTAGAGAAGGCAAGGGATTCCAGGAGAGAGAAGGAATATTGCCAAGGACATGAATGAAGAACAAACATGTAGAATAAACATGTACTGTTTGTGTGAAAGTGAGGACAAGATTTTGTCTGACCCATACGGCATGCTGGAAACAGAGGGAAAGAAGCTTGGAGGATGGAGATCTACAAAAACATCTTAGAGTATAGAAGCCATGGAATACAGGAAGTAATTGAAAGAATATAAACAGATCAGAGGAGGGAAAATAAAATTATTAGTTATTGAGTACTTTCCATGTCCTATCACCATTCTAGGCAATTTGCGCACGTCATCTAATTTAATTCATCAAACAATCCTATGGAGTAGGGACTAATATTATCACCCATTTTCTGCATTAATGAATTGAAGCACGGAGAAATTAATTAACTTCTCAAATATTGTAAACAAGGAAGTGGGAGAGGCAAGATTCAAACTCACATGTGCCTCGCTCAACAGCCTGCTTCATTTCTACCATTCTTTGAATGATCACGGAGACAATAGTATACAGAATGGATTGCAGGAGGGGACAAAACAGGAGGTGAAGCTCTCTTTTAGAGGATAGACCATTATATTTGAGGTAATTAGAGCCTAGATAGGGACAATGATTGTAAGAATGAAGATAGAGGATAGTTTCAAAAAAATATTTTTTTCAAAGAGCTCTTAAAGCTGTAATCAGTAAAATGAAAGAGGAAATGAATTTTCACAAATAGGAATAAATAAATCTTTCAAGGGGTTCAACTTTTGCATATTTTCCATTAAGACTTTTTTTGAGTCATATGATGAAGTGTATCTTCTTTCAGTGAGAAAAACATACTTTGTAGCTGGAAAAGAGGTTCTTTTTTCTGAAACCCAGAGACTTGTTTTGGAGGCAAGTTTACCACTTGGCTAGTTCTTGGGGGCCCCTGTGAAGAATCTATAGTCCTGACAAGGAAAATGATTCACATAATATGAATTTTTAATGAACTGTGTTTCAGAAAATTTTCATAAGAAAAGATTGTTTTCAGTCAAATAACTGGCCATTTGGGTCAATGTGCTATGTATTAACCAGAAAAATGAGATTTCAATAAATTCTAGGTGATCTCTTTGGTGCCCATTTAGTCTAAGCCATAAGCAATGATCAAGAGGCCAAGTAATGAGGCAAAGAATGGCATCTCTTGTCTCAGTTTCATACTTCAGGCATTGTGCTATGAGACTTATTAATTTTCATATGTGTCACCAGGATTGATCATTGGGAAAATAGTGGAATAGGTGAAGACTATATTTGCACGCTATCTTTCCTTAGTAGCCTTTATGTCCAGCATTCTTCTCAAGGATATGGTATGCTTCCAGACCCTCTGGGTTCCTGTTCTTACAAAATAAAGTGATCAGAGTAGGCTCTTCATAGTAAAACAGAAAAAAGTATTTAGGAAGAGGGCACTACAAACACAGAAGATTAGATTCTAACTGTCTGCAATTTTAGGCACTGACAAGCAATGAAAGATTATCCAAATCAGCATTCCTCAAATAAGTAAACCTTTTGGGCTCAGAGCAATTTACACCCCTAAAAATTATTTAGGATCTCAGAGAGCTTTTGTTTATGTGGGTTATATCTATTGATATTTACCATATTAAGCATTGAGGTCAATTTTTTTAAAAAACTTCATGTATTCATTAAAATAATACATTTGTTAAATGTTAATAAAAATAACTTATTTTA